TCACAAGCCCAAGCTTTCAGGGGCAATGATAGCAATCACCAAACTCCTACTCCAGGAAGCTGTTATTGAACTGAACCCAGCTGATCAGGGACGCTGGTTCTTCTCTCTTGTAATTCTGCTACCCAAGAAGGATTCTACAGAGGTCAGAATGATCATAGACCTGAAGAACCTCAACCAGAAATACCTGAGATGACTGACCAAGTTTCGGATGGAGTCTATATGAACCTCAGACAGTTCATATCCATCGATCTGCAGGATGCATATCTGCACATTTCTATCCATCCTGAATCTCAGAAATTTGTAAGCTTTGTTGTCAACGGGAGACTATTACAATTCAGGGTCCTACAATTTGGAATATCAATAGCTTGATGGCTTTTTACGATGATAACAGCCCCAGTGCTTGCTTACCTCCATCTGCAACAAGTCAGAATTCATGGATTCCTTGTAAATTTCCTGTCTTCAAACAACGACATTGTTTTGACTCTGAAGGATTTCTTGAGACAATTAGTATTCTTGGTGCGTGCAGGAAAATTATAACTACAGTCCAAGAGAGTACATAGTGGTTGTTTACAACACTCATCAAGGTATCCTTTATCCACCACTGGAATGCTACCAAGACAAACTGATAAGGACATCCAGATTCAAGGAATCTCTCAAACCCTGATGGATCTTACAAGGGAAGTTATGAGTGCATGAATAGTCTGCAGTGCAGCATAGTGTGTGCTGCCGATTAGGTGCCTGACTCTGATGGTGCGAGTTCGAATCCTGGATGGGGCTCAACTAAAAAAAAGTACTAGAATTTGTACTTTACTAAGAAAGTGCAATCCCAAATATAACATATGTTACATTTGACCACTTTCTAAATGGCATTGTGTAATCATGCATATATGCTGATGACTTCGACTCCATTATCATATCACCTATGAAGCCGATATCTCAAGTACTGGAGAACCTCAAGGCGACCTTTGTGAAGGGCTTAAGGTTTACAGTGCCTTCAAGTATCCTTGAACGGATGTACAGATGATATTATTAACACTCGTCACTCAGCGTGGGGATTAGGATTTTATATCCTATCAACTAGATTCAAAATTGGTATTTCTTCAAGATCCATACAAATATACGTCTCGACAGCCTCCTTCGTCATGCTGGCTTATATTATCCACAATGGGACAACGTGATTTATGTCACTGAACAAGATTTTACACTTGGAGCAACCCTTATTCAAGAGGTATATGAGCGGCGTAGAATTATGCACGCTTTTACTCAACCAACTAATTGCATTAGATTTTATGGAGGCCAACTTGCTACAACACCGGTGACGTCAAGCTTGGAATCTGATTGGTCCACGTCAGACAACGCCTCCCACTGACAGAGCAGCCTCCAGCATGTTTACTGACTTGTAAACAAACCCATTGTACGGGGGAATACTTCATCGGCAGCCTTGGAAACAGTATACAACTACGGCCTGTTATCATCATGGGAATCTAATAGATGTCTAGCCTTGACAGCAGGATAAACGATGTTTATGTTGGAAGTTGTCGCTGATAAAAGTTGGTATGAGTACCTGTCCCCTGCGATGCTACACGGGAGCCAGCCTTGCTATATATTGACAACGCTTCGATGTATGCTGATCAACACAGATCGCCTGTGTATATAAGGGGTAGAATGATGTATCATCACTGCAATCAGAGGTTAGCACTTCCAATGGAAAGTCCTACCGTTTGGAATACCGTCAGCTCTATGATTATTCATACGAATAACCAAGCCTATCGGCACCTATCTGCAGCATCAAGGTCTACATAGAGCGGTTATCTGGATGTATGCATACAGCTTCTTCAAAGTGCCAATCAACTCAGACAGCAGCTGAACTTCACAATTAAGTTGCTCACGCAACTAGGATAGCTAGTGAACCTGATGAAGTTGGAGTTACAATCAAAACAAGATCTTCAATTGCTGGGAATAAGAATTATCACAACACAGAATTGAAATGTGGTCCCAGAAGATCATTGGGTCAAGATACAAGCTATGATTCCATCTTGCTGCCAGACAATCGTAAGAGGTACCTACTTTGGTGGACCCACAGGTCGAATTGCTGCGGAGGGACCTATTTACAAGAGCCGGCCTTTGACACACATCTCTACGTAGACGCATTGATACAAGGTTTGGGTGCACATCTCTACAATCAAGTTGCATCAAGGAAGTGGTCCAAAACAGAGCAGCATCTTCACATCAATCTGCTGGAGATGAAAGCTGTGATCAATGCCTTACAACTATGGTCGAGCTCGCTGATCAACAGAATGCTGATGGTCCACACGGACAACTCTACAGTGGCATTCTCTATAAATCGGCAAGGATCTACAAGATCACCAAGCCTACTACAGCTCACATTCCAGTTGTTTGACATCACGGAGGCGGCAAACATCTGGATAAAGGCATGTCACATACCCGGAGCCAAGAACGTGCTTGCAGACGCTCTCTCCCAACCACTGCACCCGTCACCTACGGAGTGGATGCTCCATCCAGAAGCATTTCGGCTCATCATAAGGGAAATAGGATCCCCAGGCATAGACCTGTTTGCCACGAGGTTCAACAAACAACTACAGACGTTTGTCTAACCAGTTCCAGATCCTCAAGCCTGGGCAACAGATGCACTGAACATATCATGGGAAGGACTAAACGCTTATGCGTTTCCACCACTGATACTACTACCGAAAGTACTGTTGAAGATCAAACAGACGCAGGCGCTACAACTGACTTTGGTCGCGCCATACTGGCCAGCGAGAGTATGGTTCCTAGACCTAATAGAAGTTCTAGGAAGTCCAACAATCAAGTTACCAGATTGGCCAAACCTACTCATACATCCTAGAGCTTCCAACCCACACGAAGTCAGAGCACTGGCGTCAACATTGGCTCTGCACAGAAATTGCTCTAAATCAGCAATGATGGAGGGCTGTTTTTGGAAGTTGGATACAGTGTTTGCCAACCAGTACCTCCGAGACATAGCCACTGCGAGACGTCTCAGGCATTCACCAATTTGGGCCTCTCGTTGTAGCACAGCAACTAACGGTTCCTCAAAGGCGTTGAGTTGGAAAATCTCACCCTTTATCACGTTGACTTGTTGATAACTTTTACTAAGGAAAAGTATTAGTTTGAAAGTCCATGCACACAGTCTAGGACAGACTAGCATAAGTGATTAACTTCGGGAACTTCAAGGGATTCAAGTGTTCCACTAGCATTCGCAAGGGAAAGGGAGATAAGCAAAAGATCATGAGTCAGGATAATTTAAAAAAATAAATTTTACTTGAAAAATTACATTTTCAACATCTAGATTGAAGGTTGAAGATGCCCCACCTTCCAGAGTTGATTCAACTGATATAACCAAATGACTTTCAAGATCTTCAAGATCTTCTTTCAGAAATTTCCAGGAAGTTCCTACACTTCATATACCAAGGTCAACATTAGCAATGGAGAGGCAGACTGTAATTAAGTCCTGTTCAAAGATTCGTGAGACCATTTTTGTATCAGCAAATCTCAAGGTTCGTCTTCCATCACATCTGAAGAAGTACAGTCGTTGGTGAACTGTCAAATTGAATGTCTACGGAGGAACTTATTTAGAAGAGCCAGTTTACGCCCTACATCTGTATATAGATGCTTCACTTCAAGGTTGGGGGTTCACTTCAACACGAAAGTAATGGCAGGTCTGTGGTAAAAAGAAGAGGGTTTCTTCATATCAACCAGCTGGAGTTAGAAACAGTAATCCAAGCCATATCTCATTGGGCTCAACAGCTCAGGAACAAATTCCTTATGATCCACACAGACAAGTTGTGGCCTTTTACATTAGTCTGAAAGGCACAAGATTGGCAAGTCTTCTGTGGTTGATGTTTCAACTGTACCAACCGGCAGACAGTCTCATCCTTATGTTAAGATCAAGACACATTCCAGGAACTACAAATATGATAGCAGATGCACTGTCCAGGACAAACAAGCCATCATCCACAGAATGGATGTTATATCCGAGGGTGTGTTTCAATGGGCAGTTGAAAAGCAAGGTTGCCCACTGATAGCAATATTTGAAACACAATTCAACAAACAGACAACAACCTCATGTTTCCAGTTCCAGACCCTATGGTATGCACTGTGCTCATTCCACGTGTCTTCAGAAGATTGTGCAAATAACGAACCTTGAACTGACTTTGGTCCCACCTTAATCATCCGCATCCATGACAACTTCACCCAAGACTGGAACTCTTTGAGCTGCAGGTATGGAACGTATGAAGAACTGTGTTGTCAGATGAGGATATTAGATATTAGATATTGGAGCAGCCAAGGCTATCTCTATAGCACTTTGAAGATCTACTAGAAGTTTTTACAACGATAAAAGGAAGAGTTCTGACCAGTTCACAAGATCAAAGGGGTTCACAGCATCAAAGGCCACTCACCCTAAAGTTGCAGAATATTTATGTACAAGACATCTTTAAGGCTCATATTTAATGTTATCAGTTCAGTCTTGACTATGTTATGAGTTAAACTCATCAAGGTTCCAGAACTCATTGCACTTCTATGAGATTTGAAGATCTGCACAAGAAATTCAACGCGCTATCATGAAAATTAAAGAGTGTTATTGCGAGGGATGACTGTATATTCCTTCAGCATCTGACCAGCAATGTTTGTGAACCTCTTCAACAAACAGATTTAAAGTTATTCAAGTCTGTAGACCCCATTTCTTCTGGCATTAGCCTCATAAACTGGCCTCCAGGCATTAGCTTCTGGTAAACTGGGAGCCAATGCCCATGCGTCATGGAGATGTTTTAGTGTTCTTGGGAATTATAACACAGAATGTTTCCACTATATCTTGGGTTAAGGGAGAGAGAGAAGCAAACAGTATGAGTCAGGATAAGTATAAAATAATATTAACTTTAACAAATACATATATATTTTATTGTAAATTTGATGCTATATGTTTGATGAGTTACAGCATGTGTAATCTCTTCTCTGTGCAGCCAGTGTCCTGGTTACCAGACAAAGTTCCAGATAATGTGAAGATTGTTGTGTCAGTGTTGGACACTGAGCCAGGTATTATTCAGGAGCTTGTGACTGCAAGGAAGTACCAGAAGATTACCCTAGAGGGCCTACAACTGAAAGACAGGATAGAGATATGTATGGTAAGAGTCTCTAAATATCTGTCTGATTTGTGTGGAGGGCATTGCCTAGTTTGTTCGATGTAGACAGGGATCTTTGAAGGAGAGGGAAGGCATTGTCTAGTTTGTCTGCTGCCATACATAGAGCCTCAATGAATATGTGGAGGCATTGTGTAGTTTGTCTCTTCAGTAAAGACAGGGATCTCAGAAGGAGAAGGGAAGGGATTGTGTCGTTTGTCTCCATCTGTATAGTCGCTTAACCTCACTAAGAATGTGAACACAATGTCTTGTTTGTCTGCAGCTGCACAGAGAACCTCAGTGAGAATGTGAAGACATTGACTTGATTGTCTGCATCTGTACAGAGAACCTCAGTGAGAATGTGAAGACATTGTCTTGTTTGTCTGCATCTTTTCGGAAAACCTCAATAAGAATATGAAGGTTACTTTCTAGGTTTTCTGTTCTGTACAGAGAACCTCAGTGAGAATGTGAAGACATTGTCATGTTTGTCTGCATCTGTACAGAGAACCTCAGTAAGAATGTGAAGACATTGTCTTGTTTGTCTGCATCTGTAGAGAGAACCTCAGTGAGAATGTGAAGACATTGTCTTGTTTGTCTGCATCTGTGCAGAGAACCTCAGTGAGAATGTGAAGGCATTGTCATGTTTGTCTGCATCTGTAGAGAGAACCTCAGTGAGGATGTGAAGACATTGTCATGTTTGTCTGCATCTGTAGAGAGAACCTCAGTGAGAATGTGAAGACATTGTCTTGTTTGTCTGCATCTGTACAGAGAACCTCAGTGAGAATGTGAAGACATTGTCTTGTTTGTCTGCATCTGTACAGAGAACCTCAGTGAGAATGTGAAGACATTGTTTTGTTTGTCTGCATCTGTACAGAGAACCTCAGTGAGAATGTGAAGACATTGTTTTGTTTGTTTGCATCTGTACAGAGAACCTCAGTGAGAATGTGAAGACATTGTCTTGTTTGTCTGCATCTGTACAGAGAACCTCATTAAGAATGTGAAGACATTGTTTTGTTTGTCTGCATCTGTACAGAGAACCTCAGTAAGAATGTGAAGACATTGTCTTGTTTGTCTGCATCAGTACAGAGAACCTCAGTGAGAATGTGAAGACATTGTCTTGTTTGTCTGCATCTGTACAGAGAACCTCAGTGAGAATGTGAAGACATTGTCATGTTTGTCTGCATCTGTACAGAGAACCTCAGTGAGAATGTGAAGACATTGTCTTGTTTGTCTGCATCTGTACAGAGAACCTCAGTGAGAATGTGAAGACATTGTCTTGTTTGTCTGCATCTGTACAGAGAACCTCAGTGAGAATGTGAAGACATTGTCTTGTTTGTCTGCATCTGTACAGAGAACCTCAGTGAGAATGTGAAGACATTGTCTTGTTTGTCTGCATCTTTTCGGAGAACCTCAATTAGAATGTGAAGGTATTGTCCAGGTTTTCTGTTCTGTACACAGAAAACTCTGAAGGAGAGTGGAAAAGAGTTGTCTAAGGAACAGCTGCAGAAGATTGTTGGAAAAGATCTGACGAGAAATGCCCTCTTCCTTAAGATTATCATAGCTGTAAGTAATTCCAGGCCACCATTGGTTGTGTTGCAAAGCAAAACTTGTTTCTTTACTTAAATACAAAGGATCACTGCACTTGTACACAGCAGATATAATTCTATGTTAATGTTTTGTTTGTACTTTCAACAAAATCAGCATATGAGTTGTTGTGTCTCAGGATGTTCTGGTCCATCACTTGATCATGTGGTTTGTTTACAGACCTAAGTCATATGGTAGGAGTACTGTTGAGCTGAATCAGGAAGCAAACTTTTCTGTACAGATTGTGTGAGTGCCTGCAACCACTAGGGCAGGACATGTTTACCCTTTTTGTGAATACCAGCTGTCACTGATTTTCAATGATCCGGATAAAAACAAAATCACTTCCTACCTACTCACCCACCAACCTCACAACATGCCTCCACATCAGAGGATTTGCTTCAGAAATCAGATGATATCTGTTCTTAACTATCATTGTGATGCCATGCTCAGCATTTTGGAGATCATAAACTTTGTATCACCTCTGTTGCTTATTCTCTTTGACTTTCAGGAACTCTCTGTGTTTGGGTCATTTAGGAAACTGGATGAAAAGATAAATGACCTTTTGTCATCTGACAGGTAAGAATGAGAGATAGGAAGTTTCATAAACCTTGGAGTTGAATGCAAATACAGAGGATCTGATTACTAATCTATATCAGTCAAATGTCATCTGGGTTAATTCCATATCTAAACAACGATTTATTTGCAGCATTCGAGATCTTTGTATGAAAATCCTGGAGAGACTGGAGTCAGATTACAACACAGAAGACCAGCCAGATGTTGTACAACAGGTGAGTAACAATCAGATGTTGTACAGTGGGTAGTTAACAACCTGATGTTGTACAGAGGGTGGTTAAAATCCAGATTGATAACAAAGCAGATGGGCATGAATCTGATGTACAGTGGTACTGTAACAGCTATGTGGAGCTGATATTGTGCTTTAGATGCAGGGATGGAAATAACCCATTGCCCACGTCCGAGTCCAGTGTTTATTTCTGTCGGGCAAGCAAATTCGTATATCACACTGTACCAGCGTCCAGTTGACTTTCCAATGTTAATTATGTTGTTTATTATAAAAATTCAACAAGAAAATGGCCGGTATAGTGGAAAAAAATTTCAGGGCAAGTGATTTCACATGTGCCACTGTATCAGAGTGCACTAGCAATTTTAAAGTTATTTCCACACCTGAGATGGATAGATAAATGTTTGACAAGTTAACAAAAGGATGTTCATTAGATGGTTAGCAGCAAGATGTTCATTGAGTCGATATCATGATGTGTCTCAGCAGCTACATAACATCCAGGTACCAATGATGAATAACACATACTGTGACATATTTGGGTGAATTGTGATGTTATACAAAGGTTGACAATAATTTGTACAGCAGGTTGTTTTGCATAGGAAGGATGGAACTAACTGATTCATTGTTTGTTGTAGGTACTGAAATTGCTTCAGGTGTCTCATGAAGGTCTGACTGAGATGGAACTCAAGGAGATACTGGATATCTCTCTCCAGGTGTGGTCACCATTGTACTTTGCCTTGGAACAGTATATTGTTGTCCAGTCAGGTCTGATCAGGTTAGTGTTTGGCTCTCATCAACATTGCTGGCTTGAAATGTTTGTATTCTCATAGCTGAGAAGTCTTTTGTTAATTCTTTGAAATGCATGAAAATAGTGTCTCTGTTTGAAAGCAACTAAGAAACTTATATAACTATAACTTTTCCTTATAGTGAACCGTATGTAGATTCCAGTGTAGAATCAGTTTCTAGTAATCTGTGTTAAAACAGCTGATAATTGTACCCAACAACATGGGAAGTTGTTCATAATTTCAGTCAGTGTTTTCCTGTGTCTGACAGTTCTGTCAGTGTCTGTTCCTGACTTGTTTTATTTAAATGGCTATGTGCTATTCTTTAACATTTAGGAGGTTGGTCTCCAAAATTTGCATGACATGAAATGTTATATTTTTAAACTTATCCTATCTCATGATATGCACTTCTCTCTCTTGCTTCGACACTGAATGGAACGATGTAAACTTTTCTCCCAAGGCCTCTCTTGTCCATTCGCCCATGCACTCCATGCTGCCCTCCTTATATAGTATGACCAGACATTATTGAGAATATTAGAAATATGTTTAATTGGATTTCTAGTATAAACAACCTCGACTCCGGTAATCCTTTTCCATTAGTTTGTGAAGAGTTATCCCCCTTTGTTTACTTGCTAGCAGACGACATTTTCAGTGATCCTCAGTATGGACGATTTAGAGAAGAGGAAGTTGATTTTAGAGTATTATAACAAGGACATCAGATCAGCTAAAGTGATTTCAAGTAGAATAGGCATCCCTTTGTCCACTGTTTATCGTGTTTTGAAAAATATTGCAAAATGGATATGGCATTGAGCACCAGGGAGGCACAGGTAGGCCCAGAAAATTGACTGTCGGTGACAGGAGGCGGCTTAGTATTCTTGTTTCTAAAAACAAACAAAGGAGTTAAGAAAACTTAAGGCTGGATATGATTGATAGAGGAACTGTGGCTGTCTGTAAGGAGACAATTAGAACTGAGCTGCATACAATGGGTTGGCAGAAAAGTCGAGGAATTCCATCACCGATCTTGAAACCTAAACAAAAGGCGAAGGTTGAACTGGTGCATACAGCATCGAAATTTTAACTGGGACAATGTGATTTTCTCAGATGAAAGTTCTGTGTAGATGTTTCCTAATACACTGAAATTCTGGACCAAACAAACTGAAAAACTTTTGTATCAGCGCCCAAAGTACAGTCCGAAAATTAACGTGTGGGGTGGCATATCTGTGTTACGGGGCAACGCCCCTATGTGTATTTGAAGAGAATATGAACAGTGAGCGGTACACAGATATTCTCGAGGGACATTTACTTCCATCTGCTCACGTGTTCTATGGAAATTTTAGGATTTTCCAGCAGGACAACGACCCAAAACATCGTTCAAAGCATTCAGAAGCCTGGTTTCGGACCCAAAATATGACATTATTAGATTGGCCAAGATATAGCCCTGACCTAAATCCAATAGAAAAAGTTTGGGGACTTATGAAGGAAAGTGTCGATAAGAAAAATCTGACAAATATTGCTGAAATGTTAGAAGAGGTGGTCCGATATTGGGACAGCATGGACCACGACTTTCTAACTTCTTTGATCAGTAGTATGCCACGCCGCATTGAAGCCTGCATTGCTGCCTATGATGACTTGACAAAATACTAACTGTTCACCTGTCTTTGAATCTGGAGTTATGTTCTGCTAATATTCACATTTAATACGTGAGTAATGAGTGAAAAAAAATTAAAAATTACAATCTTAAAATTCTCAATAATTTCTGGTTGTACTGTAAGACAGCTTCCCAGCCGTCAACCAAAGCATGCAGCATGCCCCACTATCTACCCACGTAACCACATTTGAATTATCATTCTCCTTCTGTCGCACCTGAGTATTGATGTTTTTTCACTTTATCATTTGATCTCCCATTCTACATCATGGGAAGACCGACCAGCCCAGGAAGAGGAAAAAATGTGCTCAATGCATCAAGATATTCGACTTCGAGCGTTCCACGTTCTTCCTGTGTTGATTGTGTGGGGCAATGTAATGGGACGTCCATTGTGATAAATGCCTACATCTTACCTTTGAGGCTTTCGGGGATACTCCAGGGCTTACGCTCGGCGTCTTGCTGATCTAGACAGATATGCAGCATCGGTAGAAGGACCCCGGCCCGCCAAGAAACCAAGATTAAGCATCCCATTATCATTGCTTGTCCTCCTCACTCTCCTGCAGTCTCCTCACTCCAACGACAAGGAATTTTGAGAGATTCTTCGGATTCACATTTATCGGAAGATTTCAGGGAACTTCTCGTCTCTCTACCGTCCAGTACGAGCCCTTCGTCATTGATGACATTTCGTGTGGTGGTTGTTGAGTGTTCTGCCACCCCCTGCAGGCTACTCCCCTACAGCAAGGATTGCATCCGTCGAAGCCGTTCTTAATCCTGTCGTCATTCTTCTTCAAGCAGTGAGAGGAATCGGACTAGTTCACCATTGCAGGACCTTTCTGACATCTCTTCAGTCATTTCATCAACTGCTTCCCATTCGGCGAATATGATGCTGTTTCCAGTGCTCCAAGAGTCGTTTATCTGTTTCACCGAAATCAACACTTTCACTGACCCACAGTTCAGCGGATCACATTTGCTGGACCGCACCTCTCCAGTCCGTCATTTGCTGAACCGGCGTTCTACGAAACAGCATTCCACGATTCAATATTCACCGAAACAGCATTCCATGACTCAGCTTTCACCGAAACGGCATTCCAAGAATCAACATTCACCGGAATGGCATTCCACGAATCAGCTTTCTACGAACATTTTTCGCAAGATCGTACATGTGATTTGCTGAACTCAGTTGGCTCTCCTAGTCTTTCTTCTTTGACGAGGAAGATTCCCAACCAACTGGTTCATTACAGATTACCCTACTTGTGACAGGGATGCCTTCCAGACACTTAACCCAACGCATTCACCTTGTTGAAGTTAATAATGCCATCGACCTGCTTCGTCAGATCATCCTGTTATCCATCATGGTTCGCTGAACTTATCCAAGTGTCATAACCAATCCGTTGCGACATCGCCTTACTTTTTTTTCAGCACGGAATGGCTCATCTCGTTCATCTGAACCACATTATCGAACTGGTTTGCGAGGCCTAACCAGTTCACCACAATATCCCCGCACGAGTTTGGCAGACCGATCTGAACCTCATCACCGAACTAGTTCGTCAGGCCGACGCAGTTCACACCATCACCTAACTAGTTCGTCAGGCCGAACCGATTAGCACCGGAACCAGAACCGCATTATGTTACTTCCAACACGGCGTTTTCTTCAGAACGCACCTTGAGGTTTGGTGAATCTGTACCTACACAGATGTTCGGACAACAGCCGCCCTTAAGATACAGCAATAATGTTGGTTCATTTGACACACATGATCACTTGGTCGACCACCTACAGCTATCCGCCATAAAGTCATACTCACTCACTCGCTCATCTACAGCTATCTTGGGCAAGACACCAGATGATCTACTTACTACCTTCAACTTGAAGGATCAGAACTTGTCAACACTGGGTTTTTTACATCCTCATCGAGGATCATGAACTTGCATCAAGATACGGTCAAACATACCAGCATTTGTGATAAGCTGAATTCCTCACCACGGAGTGGCATGCTATTAGCATGACAATCTGACTTGGTTCTCTGGATTACCCTATGGCATGTGAGGCGTTAGAAGATTTTAGTCACATGACTTATCCCCCCTGGTACCCCTTTCCTGCTGGTCGAAAAGAGGTTGTAGCTATGTCAGTAGTGCACACATCTAGACTACGCCGACACTTTAGGTTCTGACGATCCCGGATCTCCAAAACTTCTAAGTGACTAGAGCTCATATTATTCCAGATTGAATCTACCATCCGATCTTCACCTTGATGAATGATTCGGTTTAGGAAGCCACCCTTTGGCACAGACATCAGCTCTACAACCACTCATTTGTGCTTTACCAGACAAGCTTGCAATCCAGGAATATTTTAAGATGCTTCACTGAGTCCTGTTACTACAGACTGAGTGAGTACGGTTTTTACGCCGTGTTTAGCAATATTCCAGCAATATCACGGCGCGGGACACCACAATCATGGCCTGGTTCGTCATCTTCATCACACTTCCTTTTACATCACCAGCAAGCTTCTGGACAGATGGGTCAAGTTTCTGTGCATGGTACCAGCAGTGATGTCTGTTCAAGTAGCGAGCATCCCTTTGCCGTTTTTTATGGGTTGTGACTCGCCCAGTTAACTGAAACCGTGTTGTCCGGATTTTTGTCACTGTTGCATTGTGGGTAACATTTGCAAATGGCGGACTACTGTTTGTTTACCGGAAAATTGTAATGTTTAGAGTGACAGAATTGTCTTGGTCCAACACAGCGGAAAACAACCCCAGCCTTTAATTGCCAGTGACGATGAACGGTTTCATTCCAGGTTAAGACTGATTATGTCGGGATTCATCAGCCAGCCGAGAGAGACAGCTTACTGAGGGTGTTAGACAGAAATGTTCCAGAACGCTTCAACTTTGGCTAGGGTTACTCGGGTTTCTACTTTAGCCCAAACCCTCAGTTCAGAGGTCACTGCAGTTATGCCTGGATGGTCCCCAGGCTCCTGTTTTACTGCCTTCGTCTCCCCAACGAACGTTCCTGGGGTCGCCAGTCGTCTTTTACCTTCGTCATTCCATCAACTTTGTGAAAGTTCTGGTAGATTAACGATCCCCATGCATCTAGTCTACTACTTTTATCACTCCATCTGGTGGACCAACACTTCATTTGGTGAACTTACGTTCCTCAGATCACCGATTGTACGACCTTCATCACCCATTTACAATGTACACGTTTCTGTAGATTGACTGATAATCTCCATGCGCCGAATCTACTATATTCAGCACTCCATCAGTACTGGTAGTCATGGTAGCCTGACTATTTAAACATTCCTACATCAGGAGATATCCCTTCATCAGTGGCAAGAGTTGCTAGGTTTCCTCAGCT